CTCCAGACTTCTCTCAAGCGTGTATGAGTGAGTACATGAGTTTGCTTGTGCTATTAAGGCCTGGCTTCTTAGCTAAGCTAGAAAAAACTGTGTGAAAATACGCTGTCCATAAATGGAAATTTCAATAAAAGGCAGGTAAAGGGCTCAGTAAATGTAATACTGCTACCTATCAGAGAGAAATCAAATTTCTTTTCTAACAAATTGATTAAATGGTACAACCAACTGCCAGCCAGACTTTCTGAAATAAAAGTGATCAAGTTCTTAAGCAGTGAAGACAATATAGTAGCAATAGTAAGGAATTCACTGAAATTTGGGGAAAACTAGTATAAACCAAACACCTGATCTACTAATGTCATCATAGCTGATGCTCTGATCGTGAGCTTCAGCAAAGTGTCAGCTTTCATTCTGAGTATTTTAATCAACCCTGTGAAGACAATTCCAGCAGTGCCAGACAATGTAGGGAAGGAAGTTTACTAAAAATCTGTAAAACGTCCTTGTCCTTTGCAGTGCATAGTGGGACAAAATTAATTTTGCTTTACTTGGGCTGTGTAAAGGTTAGTTGTCTACATCAGACCTAGCGATCCCATTCCCTCTCTATAGGCAATGTTGAGAAAGAAGCGGTTCCAGAGGTATTTCAGCGCACCTTTCCTGGGCACCTATCTTAAATTTCCATCAGGGGTCAACAGGGCTATACTCTGTATAGCTCTTCTTTTTTATTACATGATACAAAATAATTGTAAAGGAAAGAAAATGTTTCTGCTACACTTTCTATTTCCAGGTCTATTTGAAATGTATTCTGCCAGTCACTATTACAAAACTGCCCAAGGAAATTAAAAACACACAACAGGGATTTGGCGTAGTAATTTCTAGCCTTAGCACATTCTCCGGACACACAGACTACTTGTGAAAGAAAAGGATTATATATATTATTGTAAGTCTTGTAACTAACCACAACACAGTTCCACTTCCCAGTTTCATCTGGTATCTGTGGGAAATAAAACTGCAAAACTACAGTATTCTTTAAAGGAATAACTCACCAAAGTATTATCATCAGACTACTTCCTTCCAAGAGATGCTGTTGAGCTTAAAGACCAGTATCTTTACACAGTTTAAGTCAAGATAGCTCTACTGAAACCAACAAAGCCTTTGACCCATTGTACAAAACTTCTAGTATTTTACAGAAGTTATGCGATGTGGATGAGGACAGGTCATAGATAATCAGGCTGAAGACATTTGTAACAAACTGAATGTTGATGCATATCATGCTAACTCTTCAGTTCCAAGGTATCCACCCTTTCAGATTAAGGAATTTAAGAGGAAAATCTGAACTGGGCAAGAATTCTGTAGCTCTGACTTCCTTCAATGCAAATTCCTTGGCTCCAGTGCTTCTGACTCTGAGGCTCACTTTATGACTATTTTTAATGTAATCTACAAAAAATAGTCAAAAGTAGATCTAATTGAATTGCACATGACATTTTGAATGATATGGATATACACTGCCTACCCTGATTATTGTTCTTCACATGAACACAGCAGTTTGAGGGAAATGTCAGAATTGATATAAGAACATATTATTAAGAGAAGCGATCCTAATACAAACAGAATTCTAATTGCAATTGAATTTAAAACTTCTGGAGCATGTCAAATAGAGACAGAATCATGGAGTGAAAAAGGAATTGGTAAAGAGGAATTTAATCAATATTTTCAGCTTTAAAACATCTTATGCTGTCACCACAACCAAATTATTTCTATGCATTTCTCAGTGCACACACAATCTTCTTAAATTATAATTCAGATGTGCTCTTTTCAAAATGCATTGAATTTAAGCCTTGCTGTCCACTGTCTGGAAGCATTGCTTTTCTTCCCTGCTGACTGAGTTATATGTGTAACAGAGTCAAATATCAAAAGAACTATACGGACTTCAAAATGGCAAGGAGAAAAATAAACTGTTACCTGGTAGATGCCAGCCTAGATATATTTCTCACTGCAAATTTTGTTTTAATTTAAGCAAGCATACCTTTATGTTAACTAGCAAGAAAAAGCTTTATTACATATTTCATACTCAAAACTTGTCAATTGTTGACCATTTTACTCCAGACGATCTATTATTCACTTGCAACTGGAACTCTTTGCAGTGGAACTGCAGTTCTAACATCTCAGATGGCTCATGTTGTGGCTAACGTGGCCCTGATGTGGGACATGTAACTGTGTGCTCTGACCAGCCCGCTGCTAGAGGGCTGTTTTCTTCATTTCCATGTCCAGCTGGGCCTTCTGGAGTGAGAGCAGGATCTCACCAGCACACATCAGAGACGTCACACAAGGATAAGCCCATCTGATAGTTCTTGCCAGTGTATAACACAGAGGGAGGAAAAAAAAAATAAAAGAAACCTCTTCAAGGTTACTATAAAGTGAATTTATGCTATTGCATTTATACTAGTTATTGCATTTAGGCGATATTTATGTATTTATGCAATTTATGGCATTTATGCTATTCCATGAAACATGGAGGGACATGTACAATCACGTTGATCAGGAATGGAAAACTTTATACATAGAAATATGTAATTTCCTGTTTGTAATTACAAATATACCAGATATTCAAACTCTTTGAAATTTCAAGCGAAGTAATGCATTTGATTCCTCTCCATCTCTATCACTTTTCCTCCGTTCCAAGACAGTATCATGATTTCTCAAACTCTCTTCACAGAGACAGACATGTCCCCTAGTTGAGTTCAATCACCAGCTTCACAGATCTTCACTCAGAGCAGCTTAATAAAGCAGTTAAAGATCACTCTTTCTTTTTTAATTTCAGAAAATCAGTAAATAAAAACACCTACTCCAGTGCCATGGTAATTTTTATTCTGGAGTGTTGGCAAGACTTCTGGTCCAATGATTTACTTGCAGCTGGAAGCATGCACACACCCTTGTATTTGTTCCAGTCTTATCTGAGTCCTAGCTCAAAAAATGAAGCAGATGTGCAGGTTTTTATGAGTGCAGAGAAAAACTGCATAATTCAGTATTGCATGCATAGTCTCTCTTTTGTTCTAAGTCTCTCCCTGTCCTTTACTGAGTTTCTAGACTGCATTCGTTCTCTTTAGCAATGTATGAAGGTATATTTCCTGAGGATGAGAATCAGGAGTAAGATCAATCTGAGACTGTTCCAGGTTCCAGCATGTGTGTTGCCAGTAGAAAGAAATTAAGGTTGGCACTGCAGAGTCCCTTGTTGTCCCAGTCTGTGGTATGTGCAGACCGCATGTGGGCCGTCAAACTACGGTTTACTGTGTTTAATCTGTCAAATAAGCAGAGTGAGATAGTGCAACAGATGGTTAAATAGGAACTCAATCCCATGCATGAGATGTCCCAAAACAGTAACTAGATCTGTGAAACAAAAATGTGGTTTGTATGACTTTTTGTGTGTAGTTGGACTATTCTTGTAAAAGTCCCTTGTGCACCACTTCAAACTTCAGTACATGATATGGATATTCAGGGCTTTCATTAATGAAAGCAGTTATAGCAGTATGCAAATACAGATTTAAAATTCTAACTTTGACCATCAATTCTTACGCTAACCCCAGGGTTTCACTGCTATAACATCTCTCTCACCTCTTCCTTTGCAGTCAGCGACCTGCTGCTGCTCTTTTCCTCCCCACTCAGTCCTTTGTCCTGCCAAAATTCTGTGATACCTTTTGATTCCAGTACACATAACATTTATAATTTTCCTGTTCATTGTTGTTGCCCACATGCTGCCTTCAACTGCATGTCATGGATCCTTTGCTGTATTTGAACCGATCTGGAGCAATCACTGTGAAAGATATTGTCAGAAATGGATCGTTCAGTATGACTGTCATCTCAAAATTACTCATTTGGAAGACAGGTTACGGCAATAGTACAAACTGATGGTTGCTGTATTTAAGTTCCTTATTCATATCTCTACTTAGACCTGTAACTTTTACAAACTGGTATTTAGCTTCTTTACATATAAATATTGTAAGAAAGCAACAGACACAAGTACATTCTTACTCCTATGGTGGTTTCTCTGCTGTTTTTGTCGTGGTTTTTTTTTTTTTTTCAGTTGATAACTACCTGAAAAACTTTTCTATATAGCAGGGTACGGGCGTGACCAGACAGCAAGGATAAAAGAAAGAACTGAAAATAAATGCTAGCTACCATGACAACAGAATGTTTCCGGGATGCTGGCCATAATTTTCTCTGCTAACAACTTAGTGGTTATAGAAAATTTGCATTAGGAAGCATTGCCAACACTAAGCTTTCAGACGCACGTGTGTTAGTCCCAACAGAAGGACTGTACATAACATAAAACATAAGCAATGTTTTCCCATTTTTCTACACTTTACTGAGAGACAAGACAGCAGAACTGAATTTGTCACGGGACGTGCTGACTCAATGCTACAGAAATTAATCTGTTTCAGTGTATGAAATGTATTTCAGTATTTTTGCAGATCCTTCAAATAGCTGCACTTGCAGCAGATGCCGTGACTTTAGTGTCACGCCCCCCTCAGCACCCCCTTCCCCAGCGCCTGCGGCAGCCCCGCAAACGCCCTGTCCCTAAACCCCTATCTTTCGAGCTCGGTTTCAGATGACGGAAGGCGGCTGCGGACAACACCAGAACGATTCCGCCACGCCCAGCCTCCCGGAACCGGCCTGGCCGCGGAGCCCGTCACCCTCCCACGGGCCGCGCAGCCTCACGGCGCGGCAGCTGGCGCGCTAACCGCCTCCCTCGCCCGCGCGGCGCATGCTGGGACTTGTAGTCCGTGCCCGCCGGGGCGGGGCCACTGCCCTGAGCGCGCGCTGCTTGAAAAGCCCCGAGCAGCCGCCGCGCGCCACGGCTGAGCGGAGCGGAGCCGCCGCGCGAGCGGAGCCGCAGCGCGCGCGGGGGCCGGCGCACGGGGCTTCCCCTTCCTCCTGTCAGCGAGGTACTGGCGCGCGGCGCGGCCGTTGGGGGGGGGGGCCTCGTCCCTCAGCTCCCCTCGGCCGCCTCTGAGCGGCGGCGGCGGCGGCCGCGCCGTGGGGGAGGCGGCCCCGACCCGGGAGAGCTGCCGTAGGCCCTCTCGTTCCGGGACAGGTACAGCTCCCGGGGTCGGTGCGTGGCGTGCCGCTCGGCGAGAGGCCGTGAGGGGCGGCGTGGGGAGCGCCACCGCGGCCCCGCCGGCCCCTGAGCTCCAGAGAGAAGCGGGGTGAGGGGGCCGGGCCTGGCGCCCCCGCTATCCCCGCCCGACCCCGCTGGCCGTCGGGCAGCGTGCGCGGGGCTGCTGCCCCTCAGCTGCCGGCGGCGGGGGGCTCCGACCTCGCGGGCCGCACGTACTGCCGCCTTAAAGGTCTTGCGTTTCTTCGGACGGCGGGAAAGAGCATCGGCTGCGCAGGGTGCAGGGTGGCACTCGCAGGAGCTTCTCGCGCCTCTGGTCCAGCCCAGCACCCCCTCTGCAACATGGCCTGATGTTCGGTTCGGTGGGGGAGGATCGAGACTCTGCCTTGCGCTCACGGTTTTTATTTTCCCGATTGCAGTTTAAGCAGCATCATGGGGATTCAAGGCCTACTCTCGTTTATCAAGGAGGCTGCTGAACCTACCCACGTGAAGAAATACAAAGGGCAGACGGTAGCGGTGGACACGTACTGTTGGCTGCACAAAGGCGCTTATGCATGTGCTGAAAAGCTGGCCCGAGGAGAGCCCACAGATCTGTAAGTTTTTGTTGCATTTCCATCTCGGCCCTCTCACAAATTAAAGTTTTGTTCTCTTGACATTTCTTGAGCTGAAAACTAAGTTAAAGCAGTTTCCCTTCTTATTGTTACTTAATTCTCAGACCCAGTTGTAATTTTTGGAAATGGAAGTGTTGGCTTTCCAACTGTGCAAAATAAGTACTGAAGTATATATTATGGGAAAAAACTCCCTAAAATATTTTCTGTTAAAGCCCCGATGGTTAGGTGAATTAGTGTTTTGTTTTTTTTTTTTTTTTTTCATCATGTTTTGCTCTCAATAATCTGTCTTTGATAAGATTCTGTAGATGCAATTCATATGGTTCAAATATAGTATTATTTTCAGGAGCCTTATTTGTACGAAGTGATAGTTTGTAAATACTGCTGTGACAAAAGCTGTAATGATACTGAGGAATTTTAATAGATATGTTGTGCTCTGAATAAGGTGCAAGTTTTCTTGCTTAACACTATATTTTTAGTAAGAGTAGCTTTTTCTGATGTTACATGGGTTCCTCACTTACACCGTTACGTTCCTAAGTAAGGAAACAAACAGCAATTGTGGTTACATTTCAAGTCCAGCTTTGGACCTTAGATCGTATTTGGATAAATTCTTTGCCCATCTCTGGAAAACTGGATTGAACTCTTGTTTTAGATTGAATAATCTTTATCTTTTCAGAAATAAAGCTACGCTGATTAGTCTAGATCAAAATTCACTTATGAAATTTTGATTATATTTTTGATTGGAGGCAAGAAAGAGTTGGTGGTTTGCAACTGCTTCTGTTGATGTGAAGAACTGTAGAGTTTCATCCAATCCTGATTACTTGCCTTTGAAGGTAGTGGAGATCCCTTGAAGCCCTGAGAATAGGATACACTTCAGTTGAGAGAAAATCAATTGACGGGAAACTTTAATAGTCATAGGAAACTTTTGAGTGGTTGAACTTAACCACATGAATGTTTTATGCCAGAATCTTCTTTCCATGTACATATGGTTTCTGATCTTAGACTGGCACTTCAACCATAGTGTAGAGAGACCTTTCACACTTCAAAATTCATCTGAATTTAGGTATTATATAGCTATGATCCTATTCACTCCTGTCTTTAACAATTCATAGTTATTCTTCTGGTTTATGATTTGTAGCTTTAAATCAAGTTTCTTCAGTGCTCATATCCTTAGATTCTAAGTGCTGTTAAGTCCCACTCTCCTTCCCCTCCCTGCCTGGGGCTGGGAAGACTGCTCTTGCTGTTCTAAACAGTGTCCTTAAAAGAAAAAGCAAACTTGAATTTTATTTTTTTTTTTTTCATTGAGCGTCACTGTAATGTACTTGATGTTTACAGCAGCTATTAGATTTTAGTTAAGTGCTGCTGATGGAATGATCTCATACATTTCTGTACAAGTAACAAGTAAGCAAATCGGAGGTCTGAGGGAATATGTAAAGTCTGGAATTCTCTACAAATATTTTACTAAGAGGCTGACATGGAAGGCAGTGGAGGATTGCCTCCTGGCCTATATACCATCTTTGCTGTTAGTACGGTTTGGGTAACTCTCCTGCCTTTTGGCATATTTTTGGTACTGCACTGTATTTTTAGTATGGGAAGATATGTTTGCATGTCTGACCATAGCATGTGTCCACCGCCTGGAGAGAAGAGTGGATAGTTCCACAAAGAGAGGTTTAATTTAGCAGAAGTGCATTTAGTCTGCCTTTCACAAGGCTTCAGGGGAAGATGATGTACTATGCTCGTCTGCTTCTGGTTTCCCTGTCTGTTAGGAATTGAGTTGCTGTAACTAAAAAGATGGTCCATATTTTAATTTTCAAAGTTTCTGGCAGCGTTGAATCCTAATGTAGCAAAATCAAACTGAATTGTACTCATTCTTATTTCATTTTGTGTAAAGTAGGGAGCAGTCAGTCCAGTTCTGAGTTAGGAGGTGGAGTATTCATCTTGTTGTAAAAAAAAAAAAAAAAAAATCCAAAAAACCACAAACAAAAAACCCCCAGCATTCAAGTGTTCTTAATCTTTTTGTGATGCTGGAGAAGTATATGTCCCGTTAAGATCCTTGAACAATAGTCCTAAACTTACAGTCCTAAACTTACAGTTTTCCCTTCCTGCAAACAGAAAATATGCAATAGACTCATGCTTAACAATAAAGTTTATCTTTCTTTTCTTACTTTTTGTTCTTGTTGATACAGTTATGTAACTTTCTGTATGAAACTTGTTGATATGCTCCTCTCATTTGGAATTAAACCAATTTTGGTATTTGATGGATGCACCCTACCTTCTAAGAAGGAAGTGGAAAAGGCCCGACGAGAGTAAGTACTGAACTGTATTGATTTGCAAGCAAAGCAGTATGGTTAACACTATAGTTAATTTTTGAAGTTGAAAAACCTCCAACTTCTTCTAGGTAGTAACCTCCGGTAAGCTTTCCTGCAATGTAGTGTTATTTCATTTAATTTACATTTAAAAATAATACAAACCTTTTCTTAGAGGTTTTATTCCAAAAATAGAAATGCACTTCATAAATGAAAGCACTTTTATAGAGGAAGGAAGTAAACCTCTGAGCATTAGTTCCTGTAACGTATTAAAGGCTTTTAGTTTACCTACCCCTGTGATCTCTGGACAAAAATATTTCTTCCCAATATAATTTTAGTTAAAAATAACACTACCTTCATCATATTTCTCTACAAATAATCAGATCAACTTCTTTCAGTTTTGGATTCAGGTCTGTGTGTAATGGGACTTCTCACTGAAGCAGTGAGAATTTTTCATTAGTCGTTTTAATTTATAAATTCTCATGGGACCTAGGCTTCCTTCAGCATGGAGCAGACTATTTCTGATACTTGAAATAAAGTAAATGATGCATTCTGTTCTCTAAAGCAGTAAGTATCTCATGTCAGGTACTCCCAAATTCCATTAAATCTATTTTATTGCAACCTGAGAGTGGGTGCATCTCTTCTTTTACACTGCTGATTTCAGTTCCTGAGTTGTCACTGTTTCCTGAGAAAACATACATTTCAACATGCCAATCTAATCATCCTTGTTAATACAATAGCTTAGCTATTCTTATGTTGCAAAAAATTACGCAGTAGAACAAATTTGGGAAGTATTCATCTGCAAAACAATTTTTTTTTCCTCCCTTTCCTACCAGACTCTTTTAGCCTCTTCTGCTACTTGTTCTTTTAAGTGAAAAATATTCTGAGATTGAATATTTTTGTTTATATTTCCAGGAAGCGTCAAGCCAATCTTCTCAAGGGGAAACAATTGTTGCAGGAAGGGAGGCTGTCAGAAGCCAGGGAATGTTTTGGGCGCAGTGTAAATGTTACCCATGTTATGGCTCATGAAGTTATTAAAGTAAGTTGGCAGTGCTGTTGATAGCAACAGTTTTTAAAAAAAATCTATGCAGTCGGTAGCATGTCTTACTCTGCTTTTGTACGGCTACATCACTGCCTCTTCTATGTAGGCAAGAAAATAGTTCCCCCTTCCTAGCCGCTAATTGTCCTGCATACATTGCATCGCATTAATCACAGTTAACAAACTTTAACTTCAGGTTTATTATGTCCAGTTTGAAAAATAATCAAGATGTGTCAATTGAAGTATGTTTCTTCTTACTGCCATGAACTGACTTTAACACCAACACTTTCACTTTTGCTGCATGAAAACCAAACAAATTTTTTTTTTTTTTTGGTCCTGACAATAGACTATAGAAAAAAATTTGGCTTCTTAAAAACCTGTCTAGTAGCTTTTTGCTATCCTTCCACTTCAGTCATAGGATCTTTATCAAAATAGTATTACACTTGCTGTAGTGCTGTTTTCCTCTGTCCAGAATATAACTTGCATGAGTTTGAAGCTGGCACCTGTGGTCAGATGAAGTGAGCATAGTGTTAAGAGGCCAACACAGGAAAGGTTGTTATTGCAAACTAATCTACATTAGGTCTAAACTGCTTGAAACTTGAGTTTTAAATGTGAAATATAGGGTTCTAATGGAGGGAATGTGTGTGTGACAAAAAAGATCAGTTTCAGTTTTTTAACATAATGTTTCTTATTCTTTCGGATGTCTTAAGGTAATTACTGGAAATTGATGCAAAGTACTTGTATGCTTCTTGTTTACGTACAGGCTGCACGAGCCCAGGGAATTGATTGTATTGTTGCTCCTTATGAAGCCGATGCTCAGTTGGCTTATCTTAATAAGACTGGCATGGTTCAAGCTATAATTACAGAAGACTCTGATCTTTTAGCTTTTGGATGTAAAAAGGTAGGGAAGAAAATACTAATGGCCTTTACCTCTTGCTGATACCTTAAAAGCAGAGTTTGAAGTTGCCAAATGTGTTTGTTGTATGGATTTACTCTTCTACAGTAAAAGGGGGAAACAGAAGAGGTTAGACTAACACTCAGCCTGTTGTTTCCACCAAGTGCAACGAGCTAGTTTATATGGGTGAAGCTTATTATTTTCACTTCCTCTTAATTTCCAGGTGTTTCTGAAAATTGACAAGTTTGGAAATGGACTAGAGGTAGATCAAGCTCGACTAGGAAACTGCAAGCAGCTTGGAAATGTATTTACAGAAGAAAAATTTCGCTACATGTGTATTCTTTCTGGTTGTGACTATCTCTCATCAATTCATGGAATTGGGTTAGCTAAAGCGTGCAAGTTACTGAAATTAGCCAACAATCCAGATATTATAAAGGTAAACTCGGTTTTACTTTGTGTGTTGGCTTTTTGGGAGCCTGTATCAGTATATATGAAATTAACACATAATGGAAAATCTGAGGGGTTCTTTACTTCCTCAATTTTGAGGATAATGCTAAAAGTATTTTTTACTGCTGCTTTAGAAGGATGCTGAGCTAAACTTACTCAAGTGTTGATGCTATTATATATTTAATTAAATACACGAAAGTAAATGTAAATAAAGAATTGTAGTAATCCTTCAAGGGCATATTCTATTTGAGAGACTTAATTTTTTGTAAGGCTCTGTTTTTTCTTTTCCCCTCATTACCTGCTCTTCTGTTTTTGCAGATTAGTTATTAGAGCTACTAATAGAACTCTGTTACTTTTGTATAAGTACTTCTGTCTGTGTGGAAGAGGGGCAGGGACTGGGAATATTTGATTCTCTTTTTTCATTTAATTACATATGGATACAGACATTTATATATTAAAAACGTTATGGAAGATAAGTTTGGTAAGGTAGGTTTTTTTTTTTCTTATTCAAGGTATTAAATGAAAACAAGTCGAGTATTAGGGAAATACAGAGGCTAAGAGAGTAGGTATAACTTCCATGTAGATAGTAAGGGAGAAGAGGGGTTTTTAAGAGCTAATAAGAAAAATACCTTCTGTGGCTGTCCTGGAGGCCAGTAAATCTAGTCCAGAAAAGCATTTAAATATGCAGTCTAATTACTGTATCTTCTTTAGGCTACTTGTATGCTTTAGTGTGGGGTTTTTTTCTGTCTCACGGATGTACACAAACTACTATGATTTTTAGTTTTGAAACGTTTTGTATTATGTAGAGGAGGCATCAAAACAACTGGTTTGGTTGACTTCTGTAGAAGTAGGAAGGGAATTTTGAGCTTTTCCCATATGATTCGTGATTTCCTTCAATGTATCTCTCTGAGCAAAATGTCAGGATTTAATAATTTGAAATAACTTTTCACTTAGTAATTTGTTATGTAATTCATCACTGCTATTTTCCGACAGTGTTGGAGGGTCATGAGTGAGTCAAAAGATAGACAGTAGTCCAACAGTGCCTGTTCAAACTCCTACTTCTTAATGAGATAAGTAAACTTGCCTGTATTTAGGATGCATGGCCAAAACACAGCTGGTTTTTTATTTGGAAAGGAAGAGAAACTCTTGCCTCTCAAAGTATGATAAACTTGATCTTCAAAAGAACATAATATGCCTTCTGTGAAACTGGAATGCAGAGGTCAATGAATTATTAGGAACTTCTTTTAGAGTGGTGCAGTAACAATGTATAGGAGGGGCTGCCAGATCGATGTGTAGTCTTTTGTGATGAGTAATGGGGGGTGGAGGGGGAGGAGGAGAAATCTGATTAGTTCTAGCCTAAAAACATCCACTTACTGCTTACGTATTCTAGTAATATGAATGGTAGAATTTGGTATGCATTTGTTTTATGAAATATACCTTAAGGAGATGCTCTGCATTTCCTTTCAGATTTTGTATTTATTGAACAAGAAGTATTTATAAAGAGTTGAATTGTGTTATTTATGTGATTGGAAACAACTTGAGAAAATAAGGTACAAAACTTTTTTCCTTCCCCCGTTTAAGTTGAATCTGCTTGTAACAGCACACCCATTCTACATTTAATCACAAACAAAGATGCTTAATAATATAAATGTATTTAACCTTTTGTGTAACCTGTTTAAATGAAGCAGTTAACCTTTTTTTTTTTGACAGGTTATTAAGAAAATGGGGCAGTACTTGAAGATGAATATAACAGTATCAGAAGAATACATACAGGGTTTTACACGAGCAAATAATACATTCCTCTATCAGTTAGTTTTTGATCCTGTCAACAGAAAATTAGTTCCTCTGAATGTGTATGGGGATGATATTGATCCAGAAACACTTATTTATGCAGGACGGTATCCTTTGTGTTGAAAAGCAGAGTGGGGAAATAAGGGTGAGCAGATGTGGTGTCTTACACTTTTCATTGCATCTGTGATGTACTCGTTTTCATTGCATTGCTGCTATTAACTAAACCCTGGCTTTTCTGCGTTCTTAGAAAGTGGTGTGGGTTTTTATTTCTTCTTTTCTCTTTTGCAGTAATTTTAATTAAATAAATAAAAGTACAGGTGGTAGCTGAGTGTCCTATCATTGACATATCATTTTAAGTAGAAGTTACAGATGTTTTCTTTTAGAAAACAACTCGTTAAATACTGGTTATATTTAAACTGCTTGAGTTGCTTTATGACTGTCTTTAATTTCTGGCTATGTTAACTGTGTTATAAACTCTGCCAGTTTAATTCTTGCAATCTGTGTTCACCTCATTCCCTAGTCTAAGCATTTCCTGTTTTACCAGATATCTCTTCCTATAGCACAAGTAACACTTTGCCACATTTGTGCATCATAGATTTTTGCCACAGCAGATTAAGAAAATGAACGAAAGAGAAGGGTCTGCTGAAGTAATTACTAGCTTTGTATGTTCTTTAAGCCACCTAATCTCTGGCATTCCCAGAAATTAGGAAAGAGGAAGATGGTAGCTTTCCTGCTGATGATTCAAGGTTTCCTTTTGACTTTCATGATTTACCAAGCACTGCAGATCTATAACAATTGCTGTTGCATCAGATTGTGCCATGAGTATTAGTATTAATGCTTTTGGTTAGTACTCTAGCAATGCTTTTTAGCACAAAAATAGGAAGCAGCTAATCTAATTTTCATGCTATGGTTCTTGAAATTCAATGTAATATTCAGATATTTTCCTTTAATATGATGGGAACAGACATTTTGGTGATGATACTGCTTTTCAAATTGCCATTGGCAACATTGATATCGATACAATGGAACAAATTGATAATTATAACCCTGACACTGCACAGGTAACATCTTTGTTTTGAAGTTAATATTTTAAGATTTTGATGTGGTTCTAAACGTTTGTGAAAAAATGTGATTGAATGTTATCCACAACTGACTTGGCAGTGAAAGCTATTCTGCTATTACAGAAACGGTATGCTCACACACACGTTTTTCATTATTTCTACAGGTAAAATCTTACTTTTTATGGCATTCGACTTCAACGTTTGTTTTACTTTTAGACTTTTTTGATAAGTCCTTAATACTATTGACAGAAGTAATTGATTTTAAAAGAAAATTCTCAGAGATTTGGATTTCTTCCAAGTATATAATTGAGGAAAGTATTTTCCCAAATTAGGTTTTCTGAATAGAAATAGAATTTAAACTTTTAATTTTGTCTGAGGTGAGCAGTTAGTCACTTGTGCCATATTGGAATGAAGAAATCATGGCAGCACAAAAGGAATTTGTATGAAAAGTGTGAGAAATGTGGAAACAAAAAAATGTTTGTGTGGACTGTGTTATTAGTTGTTGTGCAAATGTCAAAATGTCCTTATATGCTAAGTCAGGAAACCATATGTAGAAGGCAAAACTATAAATTTATGTCTTGTTTTGTAATTTTTTTTTTTGTAGCCTGTACAGCAGAGAAGTTGTGGCTGGAATGACAGGCGTGCTAATAATGTAAATAGCATTTGGAGCAGAGACTACAAGCTTGGCCCTAATGCAGATACTGTTCCTCATAAAATGCATTTATTAGAGAAACCAACAACCAAAGGCATGGAGAAGATAATTAGTCTTAAAGGGCTAAAACTTCCAGGCAGAGAGCTCTTGGCAAAAAGGCCAAGGACTGGTATGTTTTTGTTAAAATAAGTGTATAAATAATAATAGAAGGCTGTGGGGAAAGGAAGGATTTTTATCTTGGACTTGATGGCATGAGATTTTTAGAGCTTAACTACATTGTCTGTATGGTGTTTTCAGCAGGCTGCAAGACTAACAAGCCATAATATTAAAGCCTACGTAATAATGAAGGGTGGCAGCAAGCTTTCAGCAGCACTTAATTTTAAACTTTCTATAATTTGCTATAGGACTTTGTTTTCAATATTAAGTTGTCTTGTTTAATACCATCTGTTCTATTTTTAGATGTTTTTGGCTTTAATTTCCACCTTATAACGGCTTGAGAAGAAATTAAAATAGCCTATTTTTCCTAGAGTTGATATTTGGCCAAACAGAAAATTTAAAGAATGTTTTCTGTACTCTTTGAACACCATGCTGCCTGTATCCACTATATTGGTATTCTTTACTCCAACTTTCTTACTTTCTATAGTAAATTTTTGCTATCTTGCCTTCTGCATCACCTGAGTTATATGTGCTGAAATAAACTGTAGGCTTGTAATAGATGGGGCACTTCTTTGTTTCTCTTGTGATTTATCTGATACGTTAAGTGTTTTCTCTTCCTTGGCTTCCTTTGCTTTGTAATTATGCTACTAGGGCTCCTTTTTTGCCTTTGTTACTCCTGATATCTTCCTACTCCCTGGTTTATCAAAATTTGTAGATAGTTTCGCAACTTGCCTTTAAGTCAAATTTAGTTTTACTTTCAAAATTTTTAGAAAAAAGCCAAAACAAAGCAAAAACCAAACATACATCATGTTTCGTTTCAGCTGTTCTACATTCACTTCATCTGCCTTTTCACAGAAAGTTACTTTTAAAGCTGTGTAGTAGAAATCAACAGTGTTAAAAACCTCTAAATTGTAATGTCAGGAATGTTCCTGCCAGACCTTACTAGTTTTTTTAAGCCTGTGAGAGTAAATGTGTAATGCTTAATTCTTTCATAAATGGTTAATTCTAGAACATGCTTATACAGTGATGCTTAACTTGTCTTCAGATTTAGAAGAAATCTCAGATGGAGATCTGTTGAACCAGTATTCATTTTCAAAAGCAAAAAAATTCAAGAAGGAGAATGATTATGATGGTCAAGCACAAAAGAAAGTCTCGGCAATACAGAGTCTTGATTCTTCAGGGAATTCTGTCACTCAGGAAAGCTCTAACTCGCTACCCAGAGTTAGAAATAAATTTGCTTCCTTTCTGCAAAGGAAAAACAAAGAGAAGGATGCTGTAGTTGTTCCAGGAACAAGAAGCAGGTATGCTTGAATCACATGTTTTAATAAGTAGCAAAATACTATCTGCTGTCCTGGTTGCTGAAATAGCCCGAATACTGAGAATGAGAAGAATGCTACCTCAGACTTTTTTAGACTGCTGTATTAATGCACCTGTAGTACTGACCTGAGATGGAGAACAGAGAACCCTTTGTGCTAGGCATGCTGTATGTGTGTGAGATATAGATAACTAATGTTGATTTATTTTTTTTTTACTGCAGAAATTAAGACTGTGAGACTATTCAATACAGTCTAGCCTCTGTGTATCAAAATCAATTAGGAATTGGCCATATTTCTTTTCCAAGCAAAGGTCATATGACATCTCAAAAAAAAAAAACAAAAAAAAACCAAAAAAAAACAAAGTTTGCTGCTTTATGCCAAATGTGTAACTAGTTAGTGAATATACAGACTTATGATGACAGGGTTTTTGTTTGTTTCAGTAAAGCCAACGCTGGTCATACTGTATGACAAATACCTATTCTTAGCCCATCCCATTGAGTTGATGCTCCTGATCTCTGCAGCAGCACTTTGAGAAGAGGGACTTTGGGTTTGTTATGTTTTTTTTTTAATTGGCTATGTGTTATGGGTTTTTTGGTCACATTTGGCTTATTGTATAATTTTTATCTTAATTTGAATATTTTTGAGCAGTGTAATTTTACGGAATAGTCTTAATGCTGAGGTTCTTTAGCTTTAATGCACACCATCCTGAACTGAAAGTTTTGTTATGTTGCATCAAAAATTAAAGAGTTGTCAGTGATGGATGGTAGGTTCTTCTCTAAATCAATGATCAGTTTCTTAAAAAGCTCTGACTCGTACTTATTCTTAGGAGGTGCTGTTATAGCATGGAAAAGAACTAGACAGGTTCTAGTTTCCTTGATAAGAGGTGCTGAAGTGTTTCACTACCGTTTAGCTTTATAATAATTAATGAATACATTCTTAAATTTTGTAGGATTTCTAGATGTTTCTCTCTTTCAGATGAACGTTACTGGTATTTCAATCAATGAATGACATGCTTACAGATGGCTTTTTCCTTTTTTTTTTTTTACTGTTACCTGTTAAATGCCTTCCTGAGGGACTAAGACTTTGATCATTGTCAAAATAAATTGTGTCTGCAAGTGCACTTCAAAAATAAAATTGGAGACAACTATTTATGGATTTAGGAGATGACATACTCATTTGCAGTAACTTTCTTTTCCCTTGCCTTTACCTTTTTTTAATTTTTTAGGTTCTTCTGCAATGATGCAATTATGTTTGACAATATACCAAAGAAGGATGACAGTGATCTAACTGAAGATGCTGAGCGGGATTGCCAGAAACAGGAAGTAAAACACATAGCAGATGATGTTTCTCAGTTTTCAGAAACTGAAAAATCAATAAGGACTAGCTTTTCACCTCCTGGAGAAATGCAGAAAAACTGCTTCCGGTGGTTTAACAGCCTCTTAAATAATTCAGGAAATCCTGGTCCATCTCGTACTGTATTTTCACAGCAGTTTCACCAACAAAGAGGCAACTGCATGGTATCCCAGGAAAATCAGATTAATGGGGTACAGACAGAGAGTGGGGCAGTGTGTGATGAACTGGAGGAAGAATCCTTCCCCTTACCAGAACTGGAACGGTCATCACAGTCTCAAAGGCCTTGTGAGTCATCAGAATGCAGTTTGGAGTCTTCAGAAATACCGCAAGTGTCTAACAACAGTTCGGATACAGAAGTAAGAAAACTAGACATGGTTTCAGCATTTGCTTTCACTTTAAATTATAAAATAAATTGTCTTTTTGTCAGAATGATACCATGCAGATTATGTAGCTTGTGTTAACAAAACTTGTCAATGCTTAAGATAGTTGTGTAGAATGGATTGGCTTACTAGCTTAAATCAAGTCTGTTCTCTGGTTTTAGTTTGTCTTCAGTCTTTCCACTGGGATCACTACAGTGGGTCATAAAAACACCTGGTAGGCTAGCTTTTGTTCTCTGCTTTTGTTAGTCCCTGAAGTACTTTCAGAAAGTATATGTATGTAATCAGTGTTGCTGACTGAAAATAAGCCCAGATTTTTGTATACATTACTAGAATTGCTGAAAATATTATACCTTATAAGGTATATATGTGTAGATATATACATTGTGTGGAAAAAAAAAAAAAAAAAAAACAAAAAACAAAACCACCACCTGTTTTAAAACCAAATTAATTTTCTTCTGATGAAGGAATCGGACTCCAGTTCAAAACTGGCTGATGATCAATGTACTCGATCTCCAGTATTTCCTGCTGTTCAAACTGACAGAAAAAATACAATAATAAAGGCCAAGGTAAGAAATCTTTTAACTTTACTGTGAGCTCTACTAAACTCTGAAAGTAATTTTTTTTTGTTTTCTACTACTTTATTCTAGAACTCTTAATGAAAGAGTCTTAAGCAATGCACATGTTGGCAAGAGATAACTATGTTCTTGTTCATCTATATCAGAGCTGAGATAAACTTTAACCAGGCCACCTGTGATTAATATCACAGTTGCAACTTTTGGAGATTTTAAACACTGGCATAAAGAGACCAATCCAAAGCAAAAAAAACTTCTTAATTTTTGTTAGACATGCTAAATACACATGTTTTATGATGCAAGTTGCAGTCACCTTCATAATCCAAATGCAGTCACAAGATACAACCTCATTCCATTGCTTGACTTAAATCTGCTAGTTTAACAGTCTCCTTGCTCTTTGACTAGAAGAAGGATTATTTAAATTTCAAAATCTGGAAAAGTCTTAGTCAGCCTTTCTTGTTTAATGATTTTAGTTAAAAGACTTGTTAGACGCTAACGAATCAGTATGGAAGGACAATCAATTTTCCTTCAGAGTCAGCATTTCAGTTATTTTTTTCTATTGGTTGGGCACCCATAATTTGACTTCTATGTGGTTTCTTAGATATCTAAGAATAAACTTATATTCCTTGTCTTTGTGACATTTCTAAGAGCTTTACCCATTTGTCTAGTTTACAAAACTTTGAAGACCTTAACAGCTAAAAGTGCTCTAACTCCTTAGGCACTGTCATAGTGTTGGCCAGAAGATTCATAAATCAAAGGAAGATGCTTTTGACCTTTTTTGTACACCCCTACTAACTTCTTTCTCATAGACAAGACTAAAAATCACAAGTTTCTCTCTGCAGAACAAGACTATTGTGTGTTTTGTATGACAGTGACATCTTGTGGTTATTGCTAGTAACCTCTGTGTTAAACTGGAATTTACACCTCTCTTCTGGAATACCCGATTACAGAAATTAATGCTTTTTCTTTAGATTAACATTTTGATCACTTCTGCTCAACAAGGCTGTACAATGAAATGAAATCATCCTGGGATTCAGAATTTCATTACTTTGTTTTTAAGAATATATTTCTATAAAATGAAAATAATTTATTAATAATAGAATATAACATATATTTTTAAGAATATGCTTTGCTCACCTTAACGGCATATTGTGAGAATGAGTATACCAAATACAGGGGAATGAATACACCGTATGGAAGTACCCAGGTAATATAAACATCATATGTAAACAAATTTTCAGGATGCTTGGAGCTCTCCAGACAATAGGAATCTGCTGAAAATCTATGAAGACAGTAGGGTTAGTTTAGGGCAAGCAGCTAGTAGGAGGATTTCTTCCACTGATTTCCTTGGCTGTGCATTCTCTCTGCTTCCTTTATGTGCTGGTAATAATACTTACAATGAGTTGGACCAGAAAACTGACCTTGCTGAAAACTTGATAGCAACAGCAAAAAGGTCAATATTGGAACTCTGGCCCACCCAGGCTCTCGGGCTCGTGTGAGTTGTAGCACCAGTGAGACCACTGGAACAAGTAGCCAGGATTGAAGAGGGGGCAGGAAGAGATAAGAATCACCACTTTTGTCTAGGTTTTCCCTTGGGATTGTTTACTGCAAGTATAAAACAAGGGAAATCTTTTCTTGTACACTAAAAGATACCAAAAGGGAACAATGAGTTCCAGATTTAGGGAAGAAGCAGTCAATCACTTAAAATAAATTATTCTGACTTTGGTAGGCTGAATACAATAGCTGATATGTTGAAAAATTTAATAATTGAGGGAGGCAATGTGGGCAAGTTGTCCACTCTTATCTTGGTTCCAGTCCAAAATGTGAAGTACCTAGATAGTCAATTCTAATATCAAAAGTAATAGAACCTTTTCTTTAACAGATGCCTATAAGATAGTGAGCTCTCTAGGACCTTGTTTTTTCCAGCTGTTGTTTTTACTGCTGATTATTTTCCACAATTGCTGAGTTCAGTAAAGAGACTGATCTACTCTGGTTTTTAGTTTCTTAGTGGGTGTTCGACAGACAGCTTTGTCTACTTTTGGGTTAGTTAAATTAAGTTATAACTCAATATAATTCAGTATCACAAAGAAAGGTAGGATTATGGGTGACTTCACACGTTACAAAATGGGTGAGGTGATAGAAAAACGGCAAAATATTATAAAGCATAGAGTTTCAGGATTTTATTTTTATACTTCCTAGTATTCTTGTATTGTTCCAATTTTTAGCCTACATTTTCTTTTTTTTCCCCAAATTTTATTTGGGATTCCAGTATCTGCTTAGTCTATTCAGACAGAAACAATGTCATTTCAATGAAAAACTATATAACAAGTGTGTGTGGTGGGGGAATGTCAAAATGCAATGAAATTTTGGGAGGAACTGAGGTATGAGTTCTCCTTGAAAGAAAGACTGCCAACGTCTTTTAAGAAAGGTAGGTGTTGAGTGATCAATAGAAAATACTTGGATGAGAAAGAGCTATTTTCATGAGTTAAGTGAAGCACCTGAAGTAGGCAGAGATGTCCCATCTTTGAAAGATGATCCAGCAAAACAGGAAAGATGAATAATTTAGAACAAAATGCTTTATTCTTAACATTATCCAAATGGGAAACATGAGGGTTATTTATAGCCTAGGTATCCTAAACTAATCTTACATAGCCAGCTGTAAAATAAGAACTGTTTACAGCTGTAGACAGTCACAATCTCTCCTGCAGGTATGGTATTTTGATAATTATGTTTTGGTCCTCGTAATGACAGACAAAAGCTAAAATAGCAGGCTAGGAGTAAGTGATCACTTAGAAGCTGGTAACGGTGAGCCATTCATATTCTACAACAAAGTGGCAGAAGGGCTCAAACACCAAAGCTGGTTTGCCAGTTCTTACAGCTGCGTTATGTCTACTGTGTTTAAGATGCCAATTCTTATATTATAGAAGCTATCTAAATATACCTTGTAGCAGCTCAGATTGCATGATCTCAATACAACGTGAAGCACTTCATTTTTGATTATAAGCTTTGCAGCATTTTAACCATTTATGCTGTAAAATTGAAATCTCACAGGTTCCTGGTTTACATAAGTCCAGTTGTATAGGGTCACGTATTGTAACAAAGCTCAAGCCATTGATACCAGCTAAAGTAAGCGGATTAAGCAAGAAACTGTCACTCGTGCAGAAGAGAAATCACTGTGATGCTGAAAACAGGCTGGGACTGCAAGCTACCATTAGTGATCTCCGGAAAAACTTCCAATTTAAGAGGTGAGTTACTTTAATCCTTTACTTAGCAGCCTGTACATTTTTTTTTTTTTTCCCAAAGAGACAATTTTCAAAGCGGACTCTACACATTTCCTCTACCCAATTCAATAAAGATAATAGCTTGATACATATTTTCTACATACAATTTTTAATTTCCTAAGTTTAATGTAACCATGAAGTATGATTTTTGGTAAATATACTCTTCTAATTCCCTTTTCCTAACCAGGAAAACTCACAGCTAAAATTCATTTATTGAAGTAGTGCATTTAGTTTAATATCGTTGTTTGACTTCTAACACCAAAAGGCATTTCTTAGTCTAAATGCAAAAGCTGCATAAAAATTGTCAAACTTAATTGAATACAAGGTTGTTTCTCTTTAACTCTATGTGCCTCTCACATTTTGAGATGGCTGATTGTCAGAACTGTTCTGCTTTCAAGATGATGGTGAATTAATGGAATATTTCTGTTAGTTGAAGTCTCTGGTTACGAGAGACATTTTTGCACACTATAAAATGCTATTGTTTTCCCTTGTGCAGATGTCTTGGCTAACTTGAAGTTTCTGCAAATATCTCAAAGGTTTGAACTTGAAAGACAATGATTATTTAAAAAAAAAAAGTAGTGTAGGTATTCTAACATATACTATTTCCATGGGCTCAGGTAAAAACTCCTGGTGGCAAAGCTTTCCCAGCTCCCAGTAGCAACTTCAACTTTAAATAGATAAGTCTTGTTTAAATAAAATTATTCTCCATTAACCTGAAACCAAATGTGAGTAGGACTAAAGTATTATCTTTGCACCAAGTAGTAAATGTGAGAGTGGTGAGCATGTGTTAAGTCAGCTGAATATATTTTAGTCAGTCTGGGCTTTATGGTAGGCTACTACAAACATAAAACTGATTTATGTCAATACAGCAAGCAGTATTTTTAAACAGTTTTAGAAGTCTTACCTTTTAATGCACATCAATAAGATAATAAGAATGACAGTTTCAAAGAGGAAGTGAAAGTGCTTGCATATGTATTGCTTGACCTCTAATTGGGAATATCTGGCCAGGGAGAAAATTCAAATATTTTGATTTATCAGAATACAGGCAGATAAAACAGTTAGCCTATATGGCACTCGATTACCTTTCTCCATTGACGGTTGCAAGATTTAGCTCCCAACATTCATATTTTATCCATCCAGTTCTGGTTGCTCTGTAACTTCCAGGTATATACTAGGGATATATATTTTTGTATATATTACTTCTATGTAAATAAAGTACTTGTTTATTAGCTTTTAGGGGATTATTTTCTTAATTTATTTCAGTAAAAGATTTTTCTTGCTGCCAGGACTTAGCTCTGAGTATTCTGTTTATTGTTTTTTCAAACTTTATAAAGTTTCTAAGTTATCCTTATGGCTTAATAATTATATTGTCTGATGGCAAATAAATCATGTGGAACATTAATCTGTTCTATCCTAATGTGAAGACTCACGAGGTACATATGAAACTAGTTATTCAAAAGACTTAAAAGTTAAGGAAGCATGTACAACCCAGAGTAGCATGGGGTACATACATCTTCCAGATACAGGGCTGTAGCCATCATTCTGCCACAGGATTAACTGGAACAGTTGAAAACTTTCAGTGAAGTCATTCAGTAGTTAGGTGAGGGGTCTTGCTTTGTTTTAACCCATATGTTCTTACAAGCCTGTGGTTAGAAGCTTACAATATCATAATATTTTGGGGTTTTGTTTTCTTTTTTGTGCAGAGAATATGACAAACTTCCTTCTTGTAAAAAGTCAGATCCATTGTCTCCAATCAAAGATAATATACAGCTCACTCCGGAAACAGAAGAAGAAATCTTTAATCATCTGGAACATAGTCATGTTCAGAGAGCTATATTACAATGAACTGTATGCTATACATGATAGGATGCATTTTTAATCATTGTCAAAATTTGCCTTCTGGATATTTCATCAATATAGAAAAGATGCTTTGAAAACCAACTATATATTTTAGTCTGACTAGTGATTTGTCATCGTTTTTATAAAAGCATTAATTGAAAGGTGCAGTTCTATAGTAGCTGGAATAAAATCCTTCAGATGCCTGTGTTCCCTTCTTCAAAGTCCCATGCTAAACTTTTGTCCAAACCTTTTTCAGCCGCCCTGGGCATTTTATGTTGGTCACATATGCAATTCAAGTTCCTGCAACAGCTATGGCCTTGCCTTTGCACAAAAACAGCAGAAGAAGTTTGTGTCTTTAATTTTTAACAGTTGATAATTTTTTTGCCTCTTGTTCTTTTGTCTTGAGCCTAATCTGGCTCTAAGACAGGAATAAAACTGCTGTTTAAGGCTCATAACAGCCTTCACTGTACTTCCAGCACACTGGTAACTATTTCTTTTCCCTGTAAGGTAACATCTCTCTCAACAGTTAGCTTTGTTTGATACAGTCATATTACTGGTGAGAATAACTTGGGGACTGCAGAAAGGAATATCAGATATTAGGTCTCCAAATTCTCACATTAATAGAATGATCTCTGGAGAAATACAGTGTGTTCTTCTGTTTTACCTGCTCTTTCCATGTTTGTAGTCTTATCCAACAGCAAACACACAAAATATCAGTCCTTGGAGCTAAGGATTACAAAAGAGCCTGTCCTCACAATCAACCAACCAAGCTTCAGTCTTCAACAGCCGATCAACTAAAGGGAAGGAATCCAGACTCGGGTCCCTGCTTTGGATGACTGAATTATCATGAAATATGATGGGATTTCAGGTTTCTACCTTTAAAATCAGGATTTGAGTCAATGTAAAGATATATTAAAGTTTTTTCCTTTTTTTAGGCAAGGATGGATAGTGTCTCTTTCTGCAGCAGATGAAGGTACAAAAGGATATCTGAACTTCTGAAATGAATCCTTTCCGTTCCCGAGATGAATACTTTCCTGCCACCTTTGAGCTCTTTTTCAAAACTTTAAAGTTTGAAATTGACCTATGAAAGGCAGGGCTTTTTTTTTAATTCCAATGTACTTTTTTCTCTTTAAGAGACTTTGCATCTATAAGGTGACTGGCTGCATTAAATTACAAAGAAGCTGCTTACAAGAGTGGGTTATGTGTACATTTGTGGGAGCGGTCCTCTTATTTGTGTTGAAGGTATGGCATATAAGGAACTGAAGCAATGATGCTTTAGGACAGGCTTCCTCTCATGTGCACCACTAGAAAATCCCTACTGAAAGGCAGGTGTTTTAACATTGATGTTCAAGGAGAATTTTTATCCCTGGTATGATGTGACAACTAGAGGCCAGGGATAAATGTTTCTGTGTTTCCAGTCATAGAACTATTGCCTAGAATGAAGGTTTGTGTGTTGCTACAAGTATAGTAATAAGGACAGAATGAATTTTTGAAGGGAAAAGATAAGTACTTTGTTTTCCTCCATTACTTATTTATCAGTGTGGGAGTTGCAAGGTTACTTTGTACAGTCCATCCTTGCCTGTTGCCTGCTCTTCAGTCAAAGAGCTGCATGTTCCTGCTTTAGTGGGTCATTAGAAGAGACAAACCACTCCTGTTTGTATTTTCAAGGACAGGTAATTTTAAGGGAGTATAACTACATATATAAAAGCAGTACTGCCTTTCTTAATTCTGCTGACTGCATGTACTGTCTTGCCTGTTCTTATAGTTCATTTATTGAAAATCCCATCACTTGTTTTACTCTAGCTTCTCTGAAGAGAGAATCGGAGGAAATAAAGAAAATGTTATATAGACATTCATAGTGATGTTATTTTGTCACAAACAGGTGGACTGTTTTTTTCCTGTATACTCCTGTATGGCCAGGAGAGTAAAAGTATTGACAATGCCCTAAAAGGCATAAGGCATGTAATAACTTGCTGGAGTGCTATTTCAGTGGTAGGTATTAGTGGAATTATTTATGCAAATGTGCTTCTTGATTGTATTACATTGTATGGTCTTGAAGTAGATTTCTTAAAAATACTGTAGAATTTCTGGTTTGTGCTTTGGAGATCTTGAGTTCTAACTTCACATTATAGGAGATTCTTGTCAGGAAGTAGCTAATGGAGTAGAGGGCTATTTCACTACATGTAAGTATATAATACATGTAATCGTATAATATCATGTAAGTTTTATAGTTAAGCATGGAGTTCTTGGGTTGGTGTTATGAAAGATGCAATACCATATATGCAAATGAATTTGTGCAAGACTTTTATTCCCGAGTTAAAATTGACTCTGGGTAGTGTAATATAGCAAAAATTATTCAATATCAAAATAGGAGAAATTATTGAAAGGTATGATGGGGAGGGGGGATAATATAAAACATGCCACAGTGAAAATTAAAAAATAAGGGAAAATAAACTTGGAGAGAAGGAAGGAGAGTTTGATGTTGTTAAAAATGCAGGTGTTTGAAAGTTGGAGGATATGAGGGTGGTTGGAAAACAGTAGGAGTAAATGGAAACAGATGACAACTTGGAGGCATATGTCTGTGGTGTTTGCTTTTTAATCTAATTTTTTTTTTTTTAATTGGAAGAGGTGGGGAATACTTGCAGTAGGAAGTAATTAAGCTGGAGAAATGGGCACATATATCTCTGCATATCTCTGTAGGCATTTAAAACTTGTCTCCTTTAAGCTCAGGTAGAAAAGCAATTTTTCAGAAGTATTCAGAGGTTTAAGATGATTCTTTTTGGCTGATGTGGTAATATTTGCTTTGAAAGATAGGCTTGAGAAAAGGGTTGCTTCTCCTGATGTGTTTACACAGCAAAGTATTAAGTATAGGCAGATTCCTCTGGTACTGCTGCAGGAGAGTTATTAAGTAGGTGTTTTTCTTAATTTACAAATCATATTTAACATTCTTCTCAATTCAAGAATATTCTACTGGAGACTGAGGAGTTCTATGTTTTAAGGCATGTTTTAAAAACTGTTTACATCTTTGTGTCTGCAGAATGCATATTCTATGCATGGAGTGAATTTTGTCAGATTTTATAAGAACATAAATCATTTTGAGGTACAATTAATGACTTCTATAAGAAACAGTAGGACACCTACTGTGTCCTACACTGCTTATGTAATACAATAAAATATATCATTCTGTTTGTTTAAAATCTGAAGCTTTGTTACATATGCTGCATCTAAATTACTTCTATGATTTTTTTGATCATCTGTGATCACGTTTTAAAACTAAATTTTCACCTTCACTTTAGACTGAAGAATAATGTTCTGTGGTGAATTACATGAGACTGCCCCATTTGGAGTAGGAACTTCTTCCTTGTTTTCATTGCCAAGTTCAGTTTATTCATCCCAAAATGGACCGAGTGTACTGTTGAATCTCCAGTTCTCTGTGGAAAGTGGGATTACACATTTTCTTCCTCCATATAGGAGACTGTATGAAACATTAGGTCAGTAGGATAGGAAAGCTTCTCAGGGAGACTTGCCTTGTGTGAAAGATTAGTTTGTGTTCCAACAGCTTTCATTGTCTCCAGACTCCTCTGTTCCAGGCAAAATCTTAATTTTAACAGCTATAAAATTCTGGATTTGGAACATGGCATATACCTGCGTGAAGTCCTGTTTTGGGAAGGATTCTTTAATGGCTCTGAGGTAACTGTGGTTAGTGCTACAAATGTACACATGACCTGGGGCAAGGTACTCTATAAATGTTTGAGGTACGTGGAGAGTTTACCAGTAGGACAGACAAGACTGAGTTTGGGAAAATGAAGTTTTATTCTTTGCATCGCTTCAAAAACAATATAGGAACTCCTCTATACCCTGTGTCAAAGGGGAATTTATGATTTTATTTAGCTCATTTCAAGTCCAGTATCTCAGGGAGCACTAGAGTTTGTTTTTCAGAAAACATCTAGTTTAAGTGCTTGCAGTGAAGGAGAAATCATTGCACAAGCACTGAAGTGATGGATTTGATTTTTTAGTTTAAGTCCAGCTTCCCTTTCATCCATTGGCTTGTGTTATTATACCTGTTGTATTAAAGGAGGTCAGTTCAACAATATTTATCTGTTAGTTACCTCATTTTAGAACAGCAAATCAGGGGAGTGACTTAATGTGTTTCTTCTAAGCTTATACTAATTGGATTTAATTATATTACTGATTTATTTGAAATTATTAGCTCTTTCCTCATTAACAATTTCTCTTAGTACTCAGCAGAACTCAATATTAAACTCTGAATGAAAGAGCTTCTGGAAATATAGTAGAGTTTACCACTTTGAAGCCAAATGAATTTTATTTCTGGCAGTTGTTTACAGCTGGAAGTGGATCAGAAGCTCTTGTCTGGCCACTTCATGCACTGCCAGAAGGTGTCACTACCTCTGTAGTAGCAAGAGAAAGAAACATGGCATGGATCTTAAAATATTTCAGGATGGGCTGTTAGTTTGCTTTAATTGATAGGTATTTGTTTCTTTAAAATAAAATACTTATCTCGATAGTAACAAAACCTGTTCATCTTGCCCCTTGCTCCCCCTGTAAAAATATCTGTGCCAATTCAGAGTTGGTTATGAATGAGATTAGTGGTCTGCATAAAATTGATTCATTAAACTTGTTGGCTGTCAACAGCAGAAAAAATTACTACTTTCTAATTTTTAAACTAAACTTTTGAACAATAAAAAAATTTTGTTACCACAACCTTAATTAGCGCACTCGAAACAATTTTAAAATGCTGTCAAGTGAGAGGAAAACAGAGTTGGATTGCACTTGGAAATGCATGTTGTGTGTTCTGTTTAACAGAACTTTTAAATGTAAGGCTAAGACAACTGCTTCCTAGAAACTTAAAAATCCAGATTATATATTTTTATTTCCTACAGTGCTGCAGTTAACTGTTACAGCATTATGGTAGTATTTTTTTAAAGAAACAATTACCCTTCCTGCTCCCTTTATTTGAAAAACCTTCTTGTTTAATCTTGTTTTTAGAGAGGGAAGTATGCTTTTTCTCTTATACTCTCAAGTGAAAGAATTTCAAGTAGTAAACAGAAAATAAAGTATATCTTAACGATATGCCATAGTTAACCAAGTTATCATGAATAGCATTGGCTAGGGCATTTTTCAAATGTTTACTCCAGATGTTTACTTTTTTTCTTTAAGCTGGATAAGTTGAAACAGTTTTGTATGCCAGCGTATTTAAGTTGCTCGTGTATCTGTAGAAGTCTCTTTGCAGGTTGTGTAATGAGAATACAAAATGTTCCAGTCCTACTGTCCAAGGGTAAGTCTGCAGAGATATGAAGAGTGTTTTTTGTCTAGAGATAGAGACAAAGGTTTTGAGACATATTATAAATCCTAGCCTGATTTCTTAGTTACTTGTTTTTAACTTTATAATATGGAGCTTAAATTATTTTATCCAAAAATGACCCAGTTTTGAACTGCAATGAGGTGTTATTCTGGTAGGTGATTTATCCTTGTTTATACTACAAGCAATTGAGTTGAGTGGATGCAAAAAAAGGTATTGAAAATTGTTGTCGTCCACATAATTTTTCTAGTGTTTCTAGCTCAAAGAGAAGCTGCAAGAATTAAGATAAATTAATATGAAATTTACTAAAACACAACCATTTAACTGGGAGAGTACAAGTTCAAGACTGATGCAAAGAAATATTAAGAATTATACATTTAGTGGCCTGATTATATGCTGCTGTGAGTTATGTTAAAGTATACTAAGAGAATTAATACATCTGAATTCCTGTAGGATACAGTGGGACACACAAGGCAACTCATTGTGGTCCCTTAATGGAGACCCCCACATTTCAGGAGGTCCTGTTATGGTTCACCACAAATCTCAGACAAGGATGATTCACGTCTCTCACTATTTTTTCCTTCTCATCAGCTCAGGAGTTGAGAGCCCACTTATAGTAAACTAAATATAAATATATTTTTAAATAAAAAAGGCTGATATATGGAGCCTTTTAATGCCATTTTATTTTTACAATAGAGTTGCTTAAATGCTTGTTTAGACTAATAGCAGCATTTATTACATAACCGGTATTATCATGGCACAAAGCCAAGTGGTAGACAGGGGAGAGTTTTCTTGTACTTAATTTTCCTGTTCATTTCTGCAGGCAAGTGCTCAAACATAAGGAATTCAGAATACTGCTACTCAGAAAGCCAAGAACTGGCATCTTAGGGAAGTTCAGCATCTTCTAGAATTGATTCTCTACAATTCATTCAGTTGGAGATTGCACATAAATTTATTGTGTAATGATAATTAGTTATTGTGATTCTTTATAATGAAGGGAAAAAACCCTCAGATATTTATATATTTATATTGATACCCATCAGACAAAGAAGGAACTCTTGAGCAGCCTGCTCAAGTGAAAGATGTCCCTGCCCATAGCAGGCAGGCTGGAACTAGATGCTCTTTAAGGTCTCTTCCAAAACCATTCTATGATTATGATTTTCAACCTGAATAAATACACTTGCTGTGTGTAGAGTTATAGTGCCTTGATTTGGGAAGATTCTGGGAATCAAGAATGCAGTACCAACTTTTGAATTTGGTTAGTTGGCATTGTCACACCTGGAACTGCTGAAACAGCTGTTGCTATATTTGGGCTAGTAATACGGGCTAGAAATAATATTAAATTCTAGTATAGAAGGCAATGTTACTGAAAATCCAGACCGTAGCTGGTTTGTTCATTATTCTCTTGTTTAGAATTTATGACCAAACTGGGAAAAATGCCTGTCACAGAAACCACTCATGTGACACAAATAGAAACAGTTTTAAGTAGAATAGTTGGCAAGTATGTTTTTAGCAGATAATTGTTCATTC